CCACCCCGAGACCTCCAAATGGGGGGAGGTGGGGGGCACAAGGTCACCCCAGGGCCACCAAGAGCCCCGAGATGGGGCTGAGGAACCCCAAGATGGGGTGGGGAATGAGGACACCCCAATACCCCCAAATGGGGGGGGGACAGGAGAACACCAGGAGCCCTGAGATGGGAGTGAGGAACCCCAAGATGGGGACGAGGAGACCCTGGGACCCCCAGACCCCCAAAGCTTTAAGAGAGGAGGTCAAGGTCATCCCACCACCCCCAGACCCCCAAGATGGGATGGGGGGGACACCAAGGAGACCCCAAGATGGGTTGGGAAGGGGATGAGGAGACCCTGGGACCCGCCCCAGATCCCCAAGATGGTGGGGGACGAGGACACCTCAAGACCTCCAACACCTTAAGGCAGGAGGTCAAGATCACCCCACCACCCACAGACCCCCAAGATGGGGTGGGAGGGGGATGAGGAGACCCTTGGACCCCAGATCCCCAAGACGGTGGGACCTGAAGATATCTCAAGACCTTCACAGCCTTAAGGCAGGAGGTCAAGGGCACCTCGCCATCCCCAGACCTCCAGGATCAGGGTGGGGACACCAAGAACACCCCAAACAAGGCAGGGTGAGGACCCCAGGGACACCCCACAAGAATAAGATGGGGTGCGAGGGGGATGAGGAGACCCCGGGACCCCCCTCAGATCCCCAAGATGGTGGGGGACGAGGACACCTCAAGACCTTCACAGCCTTAAGGCAGGAGGTCAAGGTCACCTTGCCCTCCCCAGACCTCCAGGATCGGGGTGGGGGGACACCAAGGACACCCCAAGACTGGGTGGGAGGAGGATGAGGAGAACCCGGGACCTCCAGATCCCCAAGATGGTGGAACCTGAAGACATCTCAAGACCTCCAAAGCCTTAAGACAGGAGGTCAAGGTCACCTCACCATCCCCAGACCTCCAGGATCAGGGTGGGGACACCAAGAACACCCCAAACAAGGCAGGGTGAGGACCCCAGGGACTCCCCCCAAGACGAGGCAAGGTGAGGACCCCAAGGAACCCTCGAAGCCTGGAGATGTTTGAGGAGCAGCTCCCGGCCCAGAGCCCGGCACAGGCAGCAGAGCACCCGTGGGCAGGAGCCACCCCCCATCCCGGGGTGGTCCCCAAGATGTCCAAAGCCCACCCCGACCGGGTTCGGGGGGGCTAGACGGGCAGGATCTGCTCCAGGAGGGTCTTGGAGGAGGGTGGGATCCTGTCGGGGAACTTGACCTCGAACTCGATGATGAGGTCCCCGCGCTGGTCGGGGGTGCGGGGGTAAGGCAGCCCCTCCCCTGGGATGCGGCGTTTCACCCCCGGCTTCAGGACATCCTTGAAGACCATGGGGATGGTGCGGCCATCCAGCGTCGGGGCGTTGACCGTGCAGCCGCAGAGGGCCTGGGTGAGGAGAACATGGGGGCTGCCTGTCACCACGGGGGCTACCAGAGCCACCACCCAACCACCCAGACCCACCAACCAACCACCCATCACGTCCCCACCACCAAGATCCACCACCCATCATGTCCCCATTGTGTCCTCATCATCGCCAAGACCAACAACCCAACCATCCATAACTCCCCCGCTGCCAAGGTCCACCATCAATCATGTCCCCTCCATGCAGACCCCCCCAACCAGCAACACCGCTCA